CAAGATCTGCAGAAAATAATAGTTTAAAGTGAGTCGCTGTATTAAACCAAAAAACTTTGAAGAACCACCACAAGCTCAACTGCATCATTTTGCGGATGCCAGTGAACATGGTTATGGTACGGTGTCTTACCTACGACTGCAGGATGAGAAAGGAAATGTGCATCTGGCCTTTATGCTGGGCACGGCTAGAGTTGCTCCATTAAAACAACAATTCCCCGCCTTGAACCTACCGCTGCTGTGCTTGCTGTGAAAGTTGACAGAATGTTAAGAAAGGAAGTGTTACTTGACTTAACATACTCATGCTTCTGGACGGACAGTCAGACGTTGCTGAAATACATACACAATGAGAACAAACGACAATGGGGTGGCTGCAGTAAGGGAAGCTACAGATGTATGGCAGTGGAGATACGTTGCTTCTCAGCTTAATCCAGCCGATGAAGCATCCAGAGGACTTACCGCACATAACTTCCTGGCCTGTCAAAGGTGGATCACAGGTCCAGCCTTTCTTCAGAAGCCAGAAAAGGACTGGCCAGAGGTTTTTACCCCAAAGCCTGTTTCTTTAGAGGATCCAGAAGTCAAAGTTGGAGAAAGCTGAAAACTTCTGCGCCTCGTGGATCTTGGATTCTTGGAAGAATAATCAACACTTATCCTGACAAAAATGGACTTGTTAGAGCAGTTCAGCTGAAAACGAAGACCGGACAGCTGGAGAGGCCCATCTCGAAGATCTGCCTTCTTCAAGCAGCTGTATAAGCTGGAGAGAAGATCCTGCATGGGACTACTTGGGACATTTTTTGGCTCCTTATTTTGTTATTATTTGATTGTGCTGTCTACACAATTGGGGCCGGTGTGTAGGAGCCATTATTGTTTTGGTTTAGATTATATTATGGTCTAAGTTTATTTTGATAATGTTTTATGTACATTTCAGTTTATTGCACTATGGTTTGTATTTCCTTTGACCACTGGTGGCACTGCGGAGCCTATACAGGTGTTGAGGCTGCAGTGCACTGGCGTTTTGGGGGTGACGGGAGGTCACACGGTTTTTACCGCTTCGTTTGGTTTCATATGCCACGTCTAATTTGCCGTTATAACTTTCATCATTTACATAAACCTGGAAGAAATAGCCATTGTGGACCCAGCTTGTGATCGTCAACATATTCAATAAATGGGACAATGAACCCAAACCCGCTTTCTGCCTGGACAATATTGTTGAAGCGAGTCATTGCCTCCACCCGCACCCGAGGGTGACTAATAGTGGGACTTGATAGTCACTACAGAGTGTATGAGTACACCCTTCTTTCCACCGGAGCCGTCAGCAGCACGTCTTGCTCGCGTAAGCTGCTGCTTGGCCCTTCCCACCAGAGACGCGAAGCAGCAGGGCAGCAGCTGTCACCGACCGAGCACGAAGTCACACGAGTGACTTCGTCAGTAAACACAAAAACAAGCAGGAGAAAACTACAACATGGCTCCAAAATGTTTGTGTTTTATGTTCTGTCTGTTTTATAATCGCCAATACGGACCTGAAAAACAAAGGAGACCGCTAGCTAGGTGATAACTTCTCACGGGGACGCACATTTAGTAACTTTTTTAAAGTAAAGCAACCAAAGGGCAGTACGTTCTTTATTCTGAAAATCTCGGGAAGCTTCGCTCCGTTTCTGCGTCCGCTTTCCTGTCTTTCCTTTCCCAAAAATGTGGAACTCGACCCTTTTCAGAGGCGCCGCGCGTACAAAATAGAACCGGCGAGTAGTCTTCTCTCTGACATCTTTCTTTTGTTGTGTCTAACCCCCAAATTCCACTACCTCTGCTCCGCTCCGCTCCGGCACGAACTCCGCAGCAAAATCGGTCCTGTTGTAGTCAATCAGCTATTCCACTACTGCGGCAGTGCGCCGCCCTCTGCTCCGGCGTCCGGCAAAAATAGAATCGATCCTATTTTTGCCGGACGCCGGAGCACCGCCGCAGTCGATGGACAGGAATCACAACCGCCCAACAGGAAAAGGAGCAAGCACAGCTTCCGTTATTTTACAATAAATCGATAAACAAAAGGCGTTTTTTGTTTCATATGCACAGGTTTAACAACTTTTAACAACTATCAATGGCGGCTGAAGTTTAAATGCACAAAAGTAAGCCATAAATACAGTTTCTACTATCAAAGTAGTCACACTTTGTTGATCCAAACACTGCTGATCTCTCAACACAACTGATGGGCAGATTAAACAGTTCATGCCGATGCTTCTCCCACACAACGGGTGTTTGGATCTAACTTCCGCGTTTATTGCTCGGACTGTATCGCAAGTTCTCAAAAATCCCGCGCATGCTTGTTTGCGCACCTCAGGTCTCCGCACCGGAGCGGAGCCGTTGTAGAGCGGGTACCAGTAAAAATTGAGTTTGGAAGCGAGCGGCTGCGGAGGGCGGGGGCGGAGCGGAGTGGAGGTAGTGGAATCTTGGGGTAAGGGCCGGGACATGCTGATCCTGAGTCTTTGGAAGAGATGTGTTGTCCCAATGGCACCATGAGATTTCATTTATGAACGAAGTGTCTTATGCATGAAATAGTGCGTAGTGTGCAGGAGGAAGTGTGTTGCAGAAATGGAACTAAAGTGCAAAGCAGCACTGTTGTTTAAGGAATGGTTGCACTGTGTTTAAGGTATTGCACAAAAGCTTCAGGTTTTGTTACTTTGGTCTAAGCGTGTGTCTATAGTAGAGCCCTGCACGGGCCTAAAATCTGAGCCCGTGTCCGGCCCGAGGGGGTGGAGCCCCGACCCGGCCCGAAAAGGTTTTCAGGATTCTCTGGCCGGACCCGAGCCCGACTTTTTTTTAACCAACTAAATGAAAACAAAGTGCGTCAATCCTGACCGATGTGTTAAAAGACGTGCAGGATCTGATCAATTTGGTTTTCCCTCATTTACCGTCACGGAGATAACGGCTCACTGGCTCTGGTGGTAATAAAGTTAAATTTGATCTCTTTGCAACAATTTTCACAAGAAAACAGAACAGTTAAAAGCAGGGCTTGTGTTGACCGGATATTTCCCGTATTTGACCGTTTATTTTGACGGAGAAAGAATAGAAAGAATTACTCCGACGCATGAAGACGAACTGACATTTTATTCTACGCACATTGCAGATGTAGCTAAATCACTCAAGAAATGATTTCCATCTGAGCTGGACACCGCTCAGCGCAGCTCGCTCTCAGCGCATACGTGCACAGCGAGCTGAAGTTATGGAGAGGGGCTTGGAGCACATAAAATTGACTTACAGATATAAAATGAATTCAGTAAAATATAAAGCTTTTTATTTAAATATCCATTCATTATTTTACAAGCACAGAGAGCCGCATCAGATTCAGATCAGCGGGAAGATTCCTCTGACTGAATTCAGTCGGAGGAATCTTCCTGCATGCGCTCTGGTTCTGCGACGCGCTCCAAGCCCCTCTCCACATCTTCAGCTCGCTGTGCACGTATGCGCTGACAGCGAGCTGCGCTGAGCGGTGTCCAGCTCAGATGGAAATCATTTCTTGAGTGATTTAGCTACATCTGCAATGTGCGTAGAATAAAATGTCAGTTCGTCTGCATGCGTCGGGGTAGTTCTTTCTATTCTTTCTCCGTTAAAATAAACGGTCAAATACAGGAACTGTCCGGTCAGCACAAGCCCTGCTTTTAACTGTTCTGCTTTCTTGTGAAAATTGTTGCAAAGAGATCAAATTAAACTTGATTACCACCAGAGCCAGGCGCACCGCGCCGTTATCTCCGTCGCTGTAAATGAGGGAAAAACAAATTGATCGGATCCTATTCTGACCTTCCCCACCTACAAAGTTTAATTACAACAATCAAACGTGACAGAGCCTGGATTTGTATTCTGAACAGTCTAAACATGTTTTAAAAAGAAACGTATGACAAAAGTGGCACCTGCTCAGTAACACCACCAACAGGGTGAAAAATATCTAAATATTGTAGCAGAGACGGGCTACAACTTCTGGATCCACTTTATATAAATCGTTTTATTGATTATCGTCTTGTGAAAGATAGCTTGGACGTACACGAGTGACCGGTACCGGCTGCTGTCACCTGTTGTGAGCAGCGCTCTGCTGTCTGAGGGTAGGCCCCGCCCACAACGCCGCGGCTGCTGTAGCTCCCAGTGTTTTCTTTACTGTGGGAAATGGGTAATAATGGCTCTTTGATGGGAACAGTTTGCCGACCCCTGGTTTAAGTGTTTCAAATTTTTTTAATGAATTTGATTAAAAATAAAGGCGCCCGGCCCGTGTCCGAGGTAATTACACAGTCGTTGGCCCGAAGCCCGACCCGAGGGCCGTCGGGCTTCAGTGCAGGGCTCTAGTCTATAGTGTTCAAGCAATGGGCAAAAACTGTAAAGTTTGGTTAAAGGCTCGATAATATTAATGATTCATATTTTTATTGAACATTACATCTTGTTGAATACCTTTCATATATCATTGAAAGTTTGTGACCTCTAACAAAACAACAACGACGTTCTCAAATTACTCATTAAGCACCCTCGTCCTCGATTCAGTTTTAAGAGAGTCGTCTTTAGTTTCTGTAGGTTGTTTTTGTTTGTTTGTTTATGGTAAATGGAATAAATCCTCTTGTCCAACTTTCTTGTGTTACTACTTACTTTTATGGTTTTTGGTTACATCGTTAGACAGCCTTTGTGTTAGACCCCTCTGCCACTCCTGGACTTGAGGAAGGGGCGTAACAGTGTGTGTGTGCGGGTGGAATGTGTACGTATAAGAATACGTGCATATGTGAGGAGAAAATATGAATGCAGCTGAGAGAGGAGAATGCATGAATGCAGCCAGAAACTCATTTGAGGGTATTTTTATGAGGAAATAACAATATCACACGGTACAAAGCTCCAAAAAGTGGATTTTCCAAGAAAATACTGTTTACTGTGTGTGTGTGTGTGTGTGTGTGTGTGTGTGTGTGTGTGTGTGTGTGTGTGTGTGTGTGTGTGTGTGTGTGTGTGTGTGTGTGTGTGTGTGTGTGTGTGTGTGTGTGTGTGTGTGTGTGTGTGTGTGTGTGTGTGTGTGTGTGTGTGTGTGTGTGTGTGTGTGTGTGTGCGCTAATTAGAATCAGTTTTTATAAACTTAAATAGTTTTTTCATCTGGCCGGAGCTCCTCTGCAACAGTCTGTGGTTGAGTGGGATCACCACAGAGCAGAGCGGAAGTGACCCTACAAAGTCTCCTGCTATAATGTTGAAGCTCTTGGGGTCTGATCCAGGTATCTGCTGCTCCACCCATTTCCTCAAACACTCCCAGTTTTTGTAGGTCATCATTTGCAGGGACTCCTTTGGGTTCTTGGCGATGTAACTTCTGTCAGCTGTGAGATTCAGACCGGCGATGAAGAACCCCTCTGTGGAAACAAAACGCTGAATAGCATCTATAGTACACCAATCAACATGTGCAGTCCCAAAGGAAACTCACCTGGACGTCCCAAGTCTTTGTGCCAGTCCAGGTAGCTGATAACATCCTGTGCTGTTGACTTGTTGGCCCACCAGTAGGGGATGGCTGGCCACAGCTCTGGATGTCTGGCTGTGATTTGTGAGTCGTAGGATAGAATGACCTGGTGACCAGACGCCCACAGACTCCTGAGGCTCAGGTTTGGTTCCTGTAGAAGACGGGACAGCCACAGTGAGACAATGACTTGTTTCTGGGTTTTATATCACCTGTGAAAGGAGACAACTCACCTTCCGGGGACACAGCTTTGAACCAAACAACCTCTTCAAGCAGAAAATGAACGATTCGTGACATTTGTCATCCATTCCCTCCAAATGACTGCAAACCAAGATCACAATCTCCTTTGGGTGAGAATTCAGCCAGTTGAGAACAGATACCAGAGTTTCCTGCTCGGGAGAGACATTTTATTTTCATAAATACTGTGCAGTACAGAAAGTAAGGAGCGGAACAAATGGTGCTTATACATTAGCGTCGGCACGGCCCCAAGAGGCATCAAACGGCACTGGAATTTGGTTTCACACACAGGTCAGATTTGTACCTTCTCCCCAGTGGTCAGACTGGGACCAAGGAGACACTACGGACTGATTGGCCGGCTGAAATTACGCCGACCGCCTCCGTTCTGCGAGAAGAATGAGCCAGTGGGGTTCCCACGTGCGTGATTCATTTTCATGCTGGATGCTATCGAGTAAACGTCTGTCTGTCATTACGTGTGGGAACGGGAGAAGAGAAAAGGTGTGTGTGTGTGTGTGTGTGTGTGTGTGTGTGTGTGTGTGTGTGTGTGTGTGTGTGTGTGTGTGTGTGTGTGTGTGTGTGTGTGTGTGTGTGTGTGTGTGTGTGTGTGTGTGTGTGTGTGTGTGTGTGTGTGTGTGTGTGTGTGTGTGTGTGTGTGTGTCACAAGATTATGAGGACACACATAGCAAATTAATAGAATAATGTGGCTCAGAGTCTCCAAAAGCTCATGTCCGCCTTTTGTTTACCTTATGGAGCGGACTTTTCCACGCATATTAAACTCCCCCCCCCCCCCCCCCCCCCCCACAGGCTCATGAATTTCCGCATTCCTGAGAAGTCCCTTGGATTTATGTGTGAACACTACATCGCCCGTTTGAGACCGAACTCACACCATCCAGCCCAACCAAACCCTGACCGTGCTGACGCTAATGTGTACGCACCAATAGTGACCCGAACTCACCAAAACAGTCAGATGTGTGTATATGACATGTGTGAAGTAGAGATCGCTGGATGGGTCGTTGGGTTTGTGAGCAACTCTGAGGTCAAAGTATCGGATACCCATGGAAAGCTGCTCCTCAATGGTTTTGTTCTAAAGGTCAGAGGCAAACATCTGATCAGTAAACTCGGAGGTTCGGGGAATCACAAAGAAACAGCGGAATAATGGAAAAGCAGTTTGATCACATTTCAAAACCCTTCCTTTTACTTTTTGATCATAATTGGTACATATAGAAATATTTGGCATCACAACCACCAAGTTTGAATGAGTCAGCAAATATCAGTGAGTCCAATTAGTATTTCCCTTATTTCTCCCCCAGTCTCTGAACTCTGACCTGCTCACTTATGTGTTCTGCTACGACTAGCAGCTGTTCTCACAGAATGTCGGATAAACAAACACAACCCCCTTTGTTTTTGTCCCTTTATACTTTGGACAATCTCAGTGGTGACCTTTTTCGAGAGTCGGGAGACTAAAGGATTTTTGGCCCTTTTCAAGTCTGTTTTTTATAAGGTTGGTAAAGATTTGCATATCACATTCATGGTGGATGGATTCTTGAACAGCCTCTGTTCGAAAAAACAGAGCTGATAAGCTAACGGCTAGTCCAAGCACAGCAAAGACCACCTTAAAACAGCATAAATATTCTGCTTATCGAAGGCTGGTTTGCAAAGATAACAGATCCAGACTTTCGTCTGCCCAGCGAGAAGATCTATGATCTCAGTGAGTTCTGGGTTTAAGTGTCTGCTACCAGAAAACCTCCAGAGGGAAGTGACCAGAAGAGATCCTGATCAGATGCCTGAAACACTGAGAAGGGTTGGGCTAGCTGTGGGGCGTTTCTGTTTGATCTACAAAAACGCCTTAGTGGGGGGTTTCTGTAGCATGTCACCAACCAATCAGGATGGGCATCAAAACACGTAACTTTTGTTGCTGGACATCTGTCCAATTAAAAATCTACATAATATGTCCATAATGCTGGCATCACACGGTCTGATTTTTGGCCGTCGCACAGGATTGTTCGTGTCACGCTGTGAGAACTCCAGAAATGCGGCACACTGTCTGGTGCAAGATTTCAGTGAGGCAGACTGCACAACGTGTCGCTCCAGCAGGACACGCTACGTCATGAGCACACCACCTGAACACGTACGTCACTAGGCAGAGCGCTAATGTAGTGGCTATTTGTCCATACAACTTTAACAAAAAGTAATCAAATACTTTCAAATGGCCACTGGGCTACGTCAAGCGTTAGGCTTTACGCACGGGTAAAAAAAAGGCTTCAAAGCAATGTGCATGTCGAAATTACGTTTGGTGGTTTATTCACTCGAGCAGCAAGAGCACAGATTTTCGTGTGTGTGCGTGCGTGCGTGCGTGTGTGTGTGTGTGTGTGTGTGTGGTAAAAAACCATTCCCTCGCAGCCCTGGCTGCTCCACCCACCTTGACCTATGTATACAATAATCACCCACACCTGACCAATAAACAATAAACTGATTAGCCAAAATAATAAATAAAAAGCATAATGCAAAACAAACAAACTACCTTTAGCATAAAATAAAGAAGCTAAACTAGGCTGTAACTTAAGCCTATAATAAACTAAGTAGCTTCAACAGCTAACCAAAACTAAGCTAAAAAGATCAAATAAAGCGCTGCTGTTAACATTTGTTTTTAGAGTCAGCTCATGACCCATCATCTTCCTCAAAGAGGAAGAATCCTTTTCAAAACTGCTTTGGCCTCAGTCTCTGGCTGTGAGCCTCTTTTTCCTGTCTTGCAGCTAAACAGCTGAGCTGTCTGCTGGACATGCACCCTGCTCATCCTCCTTGTAAATGGCTGCAAGCAGGTGGATTGTCAACGTCATTCACCAAATTGTATATAAGTGGGCGTTAACCCGGATGTGGATGTGGCGTTGGCATTTTACCTGGCTTGGCGTGTTGCAGCAGACCAAACTTCCATGTAAGTTAAGGTATATTGCTCATAATCAATTAATCAGAACGTGTCACCTTAACAAATGCTTTGTACGTTTAGTCTACGGCCTTCCTGTGCCAAGCCTTTGCATGGCGTTTCCTTGATTGCACCCTGTGGCAAGAGGAGCAAGGTATCCGTTTTTCTTTTCTTTGTTTGTTGCTCCAGACGGTCGTCAGTAATTCATTTATAAATTATGTATTTTCCGTTTTCACTGTGTTTGGCACCAGGTGCTCGGAGCTTGGTGATTGGTCGTTGGAGTGATGTATGTATGATGCATCTACAGCCTGACGCAAATAAAAAGTTGCAAAAGTCGAAGCTCTCCTCCTTTTTTTTTCTTGGATGCCAAGGGGCAGCAATCCTACTAAAAACTCACTAAACTGCAGAAAAGTTACGATCTGTCACGGATCGCTCCCATATCTAAAGTTTTGCCGTGAATTCTGTGTTTACTCTGCAGCTGCGTGACATCACACCCGCTGTCATGGAGTGGAGCTTCCTCTGTTCCTCTGCAACAAAACGCTAGTGAACCATCCTTATCAGCTGAGATTTCCACCAACAGCAAAAGGATGTTTACAATTTTTTTTAAATAATCAAAATGATCACTATCTTATTTTGAAAGGTCAATTGAGACCAGATGTGAAGTAACAATTCAGGAGCAAATAAGAAGAGGGCTTTCCCGTTTACAAATCAAAATGCCCCTTTTAGCTAATGGCTGGATGAGGAGGAGGAGTCTAAATCTGTTCCCTTTCCAATTGGCTCTTGGGTACCCGGAAGAACGAAAAAATGAATGCAAGTCAACGGGGCTAAAAGACTTATTTTCTAATCCACTTTACCTTACGCCCTGGATCACACATATGTTGTACTTATATTTAAATGAAAACTAATGATGGGTGTTTCCACAACGCCAGTCACGTACTTTGACATTTATCAGCTTGTAAAAGTTCATAATTAGCATGACTACAAATCAGACATCGGTACGTCGCATATATGACGTCACCACAGAATGTCCTCTCCCCTAGCGTAGCTGCTACTCACCACATGGCCAGATTCATGGTGGTTCTTTCCTCCTGAAGGAAGGATTTGAAGTTTGCTGAACTTGCAGCCATTTTCCCTCCGTTTTTCTCCATGTCTGGGTCGATGATGTCACTTTCGTGAAGCGCATTTGTAGTCCTGGACTTATTTTCACACAAAACCTAAAATAACGTCCCCCCCCCCCCCCCCCCCCCCCGTTCGAAAATAAGCGCGTTTGTGGTATCAAAATGCTTCCTCCGTTCGTTCATAGGCATCATGTGTGAAATCCATGGCACAAAACTAGCAGAATTAGAAAATAGCATTTTTAGCCCCGTTGACCTTCATTCATTTTTTCATTCTTCTGGGGACCATGGTGCGGGCGTGACTGAGGCTTCCTGTTGGAAACACCTTCAGTGGGGGTTTTCATCAGCATAGTTTACAAACAGGAGTTTCCTGATTTACTGGAATGTGTGGAATCAGTCAACCCACGCCGGAGCAGGGGACTTAAAATATGCCCAGTGGTTTTCAGAAGATGATCATTCTGCATGAAATATGCTGCAGTAGCAACCAAGACCAGAACCTGAGTTGAGTCCAGCTTCTCATTGACAGTCAAAGAAAAAACACTTTTAATTCTGAAATTCCAGCAATAAAAAAGCACAGGAAAGAAGCAGGCTGCTGACATTTTCTTGAGCCAGTATGTGCTAAAATGACCCTTTATGGGGTTAATGAAATGTCACTCAAACCCCACCACACAATTGTGACCAGAATATTGCACTTGCAACTTGAGAGTGCAGGCCACCTCCTGTTGGGCGTAGCAAAGTGGAGCTGGCATGGCTGGTGCTCGAGTCTGCTTCCGGCACATTTCCCGCATGTTTTAGATCATGACCACAGATGATTTGTTTAATTTAGTGATGAGTCACTCCTGTTGAAATCAATGAATGCTGAAGAGAAATTTCAGCTGTGAGATTAAAGGTGCATTATGTAGAAAGTAAGTAAAAAGTCATCCTGTGGTAAAATTTGGTTACTGCAACAATTTTAAACAACTCTGTAGCTTTTTGCCGGAATCGTCAAATTACGGTTGTTGGCGCTGCAGTATTAGCTCGCGGGGGACACAACAATCCCTCACTCACTGATGGTAAACAGTAGTAACGTCCCTCCTTCCTTTGTTCTGAAAGTAGAAGAAGTGAGAATCCCCGCAGCCAGCTAGATATGAAAAATGTTTCAGTATAACCTTCCTTCCAACATGACTGAAACATTAGACCATTGGGATTTTCTCACTGTGAAATTCTCTCTCTATTCTTACATACTGCACCTTTAAGGTGTTAAAAAAGACCAATGCACAGCAAAGAGGACAGTTTCACTTTTGTTGAAACTAACGGGTCACTAGAGATTGCTAAAAGCAAGCCAAAACTGCAATGTCTCCCTTTAAATTCATCTCGTACCTGTGTGGTGGCCCATTTTAAAATTAAAGGCCTTGTGATGCAGTAAAAGAGTCCATCCAGGAGCCGGAAGTAGTCTGACTCAGACCTGAGCAGAGGGGAGTTTATATCCAGGCAGTAACTCATAGCGTCATGGCTGCCTGTGTGAGTATAATGTAAAGAATAAAACATTAATGCATCTAAACATAGAAAACTGGTCTCCCCTAACAAAGAGACTGGCATGCTAAACAGTACAGTTCTCCCTAACCCTAACCCTCCCACCAGCTCCAGCATGAAGTGGGTGATCCTGTGTGAGCTACTGAAGGCATTAGTGTAGGATCATGTTCTTGTGTTGGACAAGTCCGACAGGTATGTAATGAACCCGTAATAAAACTAAAGGTTTAAATGTACACAAATCTAAAGTTAAGTGTCATAAATTTCACCAATAGATGTGTCATTAAACGAGTAAATAAATCATGCAGACCTCGCCTAAAGAGGCCGTAAACAGAGAAGTAGGGTCCCATATAAAGGTTCTAAACAATTGTTTTTGTTGGGTAAAATTTTAAGTAGGAGATGCTAGAAGGAAGTGAGTGGGGTTATCCAAACCAACTTTGATGTTTAATCTGCCTGGTTTAGGTTTTTACACCATCTGAGGTGGGGTGGTGAAAAGTCGCCCCTGCTTCTGCAGCAGAACCAAGACTTTATCTCTGATAAAAGCTTCATTCAGAACCTGGTTCAGTCAGTTTTCTTCCTCTTGTCCAGATATGTGAAGACATGTCAGAGTGATATCTCTGAAGTACAGAACAAGAGATGATTTCTACATGAGAACGGTGATGAGGCTCAAGATTTGTACCCTCTACCTGCTGTACCTGTTCTATGGATGGCTTCAGTTTGGAGTTGGTAAGCAAGAATGAAATATGATGCGTCCCTCACCTTTATCTCCAAACCTACCCCTTTCTCACAGCAATTAGTCTCAACAACCATGAAATGTAAAAAAATAAAATAGAAGTAAAAGTTTATAAAAATATAATTAACATAAACCCTTTAAATGTCCACTATTAAAAAAGTAATATACATGCTCTTAGAAAATTGTATCAGGGTC